CATTATTATACTCTGCAAGATATGACAAACCCATATTAATCTTGATTGCAGAGAACAATCTTTTATTCTTGGTGGAGCAGTTTTGGAAAAAGTATTTTATGGTAGCTGGTGAAAATCACCAGATTGCTTAGACAATCACACTCCGCTGTTACTTGAAATAATATAAATTTGCAGCTTTATTGTTTAATACAACTATTCTGTAGAACCTCTGGCTACTGTTGCTGGAACAGCAGCCATCTACTTTTTTCTACTGAGAGCCCTGCATCATTCATTCTCATACTCATTAATTATTCATGAGGTATCTAGCCAATCCCTGATTGTAATTTGTACCACGTGCAATAACTGGATACCAGAGGAAGTACTCCTACCTTGTATTCTAGCTTATTTCAAGTTACTTCCACCTTGTTTCTAGTTACTTCTATCTTATTTCCAGTTACTCTTACCTTGATTCTAGTTACTTCTAGCTTTTTCTAACTACTACTAGCTAATGATAATCGAAGTATTAGAAATAATCAACTTAATATAGAATTAATTTAGTGAAAAAAGGTCTTTGATAAATGACTCCCTCACAAACGATCCCGAACCGTCCAATCTATATGCGCCGTCTTATACCATTACACCACCGAGTTTCTGATGCGATTCCTTGGAAGATAACATACTTATAAAACTTATGAATTAGGCTCATTAGAAATGCCATGAAAAGCAAACAAAGACAATTTGAAATAAGCTTTTGTTTCAGAAAGCCGTTCGGGAATTGGAAAACAACAAACGGTGCTTCTTTATTCAAAATTATGAAAACTGAAAACCTTAGTGGAGATGCAATAAATCAATATATTTCTGTTATATGCATTTCCTTCGCTTTTTTCCCCTCCCGAATAATTAATGAGTATGAGAAGTCATTCAAAGTCCTCCAATTCGGACTGGACAGGATTTCAAGTCCTTGCAATTAGTTCCAGTCCTCGGCTGACGCCTCGTACTGGAACTAATTGCGCAGACTTGAAACCCCGTCCAGTCCTCATTGTCGGACTTTAAACATTACTTCATAAATTAATTCCTTTGTTACCTATTCCTCTGTTCTTATGCAGCACAATCTCTGTATAACCTGGTGCTGTCATTTCCATGTGGATTTTCATAGTATCCAAAGCATGCTGGATTACYCTCTGAGACTCCGCAGTGGTTAAGAAACCCTCTCCATCTGAACCAAAGTTCTTGAATTCTTGAGCAGAATCTAGACAAAACTCCATAGCTGCCCCTGAGGTGTGCACTTTCCTCATGTCAATATGTTCTGCACCTTCTAGCAATCTTGTTGTAGAAGCCCATATATGAAGAGTGTCACATTTTTTAAGTGAGTCTGGCTCTCTTTTGCATTCTAGTCCTGCACCTCCAGTAGACACTAAAAGCATAAAAACAATATTATAATAGTAAAAAAWAATAATAAAAAAGTAAAGGTTTGTGTGAAAGATAGTGGAGCCCATTAGCTGGCTCACTAAAAACTGTCAATACCCATTTAATGGACATTTTCTAAAATGACCCCAAAAGGGATGTCCACAAGTTATAACCATATTGGAAAGGATGTTACTTTATTGGTGGGGGACTGACAAATTTTTAGCTCAGTGACTTTTGCAGATAGAAACCACACTGACAACAATATTGTTGTATTTGAAGTCTGCAGTTTGCTACATTTTTGAAAACTGACCCTAGGATATATACATTGTTGATGCAAAGTTTGAGACCTTAAGAGTGGGGCTGTCTTTTGACTCTAAAAGGACTGAGGATCAAACCAGAACCACAGCATCTTAAAGCTTACCTGGTGAACGAATTAGATCAGACAGCCATTTCTTTGTSACTTCAGGTGCATTGGGAGAGAACTCCAATACAACTAGAGTTTGAACACTCTTCTCATCTTGGAGTTCCACTGCYTCACTCTTGTCTTGATCCATAATGRCAAATGAATGCTGAACCAACTGATAAAATTAAAGCAGTAGAAATCTTCTACATTAATGATCATCTAGTATAATTCTAAATATTTTAACCTATGTCTTTAAGATCRCACACCTCACATACAGTATTTTGCTAATTTGGAGCCCTTTTATTTGGTCTAAATTCTAAGATTAATAATACGTTATCCCGGAGATCCYGATCATCTTGGAAAGGATTCAGCTAAGATGGAGGGCGAGGTTAAGGAGACCTCTTGAATTTCTGATCCCTGATTGGTCAAAAGGGTACAAAAGTGATCCGAAAAGCTGTTGCCTGCAGAGAAAGGCTACCAACAAATGAGCCTTTGAAACAGTCAACATTACTAGTCCACACCTTCCCCTCCCCACCCTGCTCGAAATTATTTTGTACGGAAGGCAAAAACTTCCAGACATCGGGGGAAAAGATAAGCCAAAGAAATTAGGTAGTGATAATTTTTCTACAATTCTACGTACTGGAGTACTAATTACTTTAAGAGGTAAAAACGTTTATAATACCACTTTTTAACGGAGGGATATCGACTAATTAGCATACGTTGAAACCTATGTTTTACGATGTCATTGTTTACGATCTTGACACGTTCTTCTCTGTTTACATAGAGTCAAACTTCTCTCAAAGATTCACAGAACAACTTTTGAATAAAAAATTAGAGGAATTTCTCGTGTTTAGAGTCTATAGATCATCATATTCAAATCAAATTTGCACAAGACCAGCTACTTCAAGCCACAGGTTCATTTGAATATTAATAATTTCGAAATTCTTTATAATCACAAGCAAATTATGTGCACMAAAAATAATTAAATAAGATCACTGTCTTCTGTAGGCATGATATGTGAAAAATATTCCCTTTTAAAACCAATTCATGAGAAATATATAACAGAATTTGAACCAAATACTAAGCTCGCAGCCGTAAAGYGCATACATAATTTTGTAAACTAATTATTATCGAACTCCAGYTTTTCATTTTATGCGTCAAATTCTTCATTGGTAACAAATTTTCTAGCTTACCTAATGCATAATATTACRTTTGGAGTGTTAAAAAAGCGACATTTATTATTTATCGTGCCTTACCTCTTCAGATATCGTGCAGACAGATCAACCAGGCAGCARCAAGACAGTTTGCAAAATGTAGCTATAGGGGAGGGGGGACGGGGTGGASTTTTAATTCCACAGGGATCCCTAAGAAGAGGGTACAAGAGGGTGATTGGAGTCGAGAGGTGCAAAAAATAGTATTCAAAAAGAATTTAATGTTTACTGGACTTAAATGCTTATTTATGGTCATAGCTGTTATGGTCTCACTTTCGAATTAAATAACATTTCATTTATGCAGACCAAGCCAAAGTCTAATTAAAATTCAGGCTTAGTAACGAGGTCTTGTCATCAGGGATCAGCATTTCTTTTTGGSCTATTTTGGGATCAGGATTTAGAATCAGGATCCGGGTCAAATGTATTTAACCTGAGATCAAAGATTTTTCAACTGGGATTGGGATCAATGATCAATTTTGTAAGGGGATCATCACTAAATGTACGGAGTTTTGGGGATCAGAAACACGTTTTTATCCTTTTGACCCAGATCAACAGCAAAAAAAATATACCTCGTTACTAGCCTGATATTATCTTGTAATCTTATCCAAACAGTTTTCCCAGTTTCTACTTTTTTTAATTTATAAGGATCTTAGCTTTATACAGGTATACTATTTGCTTTCCCCCCTCTGTCATTTGTGAATAATTCTAAGTAACTTAAAAAGTTTTTAAAGTGACATTTATACTCCAGCAAACTTTAATTTTTTCAATGCAATGAATTCTGTTTTATTATTAACATCACCTTTCATACATCTAGAAAGATAGAAAACCCAATTATGCTACACCAATACATTTAAGTAATGCTGAAAGGCCTTCAATTTAGGGATTTCAAAGCACAGCACAGACATAACACTGCCACAGAGCCTTACACAGTAGTGATTCCAAATATTAAATAAATAACTCAAGAATATCACACATGGCAGAGTCACAGCACAACAGCACTATGTTTTCTGAACAGTCGCATGAAATCTGCTGTACCTCTTAAAGGCTGTGTTGTACACAGAGACAATTAGTACATGTTAAGYGCTATTTTTAGATATCTTGTTTTGTTAAAGTACTTTAAATTTGTTTTTTTTAGGCCTTGGTGTGAATGGGTTATAATAAAAGTCAGCCTTATTAGAGTTTCAATCAGACTTATTTGACCACAAACATTTGACTTGAACATATATCAGAATATAAAAGTTCTATAAAGATGCACTTAATCGTTTAATGAAATTACCATCATTTAGTATCATTGTACATTATTTAAGCTTCAAGGATTAAGCACATCTGCTCTAACTACACCGTACAAAGATTTTGTAAATTTAGTATAAAATACTTTGGTCATGAAAACTCCCCAAGTGAATTAAAACCATTTGATGATTTTTTTATTGAATTCTGAATTTCTCTTGCCTTAAATGTTTCGTTTCTTTTCAAGCACACGCGAAACATGAATTGCATAACTCATGCAAGAAATTTCTTARACCCAATTGTCACGTTTCAAGGCTAGACACATTTGAATCTTGCCTAATTTCCTCGTGTTATTACCARAATTTTGAAATTAAGCTTTTGTCCACACAAACCTCGTGGCAAATCTGCATTTGCAGAGTATCCAGGAATCCTTTGAGGAGAAAATCGAAATCCAGATAAATTTGTTAAGTTGGATTCAACATATTTGTATAGACAAAGCCCCTTTAACAGCAAGAAAAAGTGTRCAGATTCACATGTATCCAGACTATAATAATGTGTACACTGGGTCTTAGATTGATAGATGTGATACTTGCATCACAAGAGTTTCCATCATCATAGCCAAGGCTGTTGAATACCMTTGTCCTTCACATTTAGCAGAGAAATGGCAATCTACACAACAAAACAATTCTTTTTCTGGCCATTTCATGGCTAAGGTTTCACATGATGATGCAAAGTCTGTTTCTTTAATTTTACAGATACTAAAAAAATTAAGGTTAACACTCAAGCCTTGGTTCACACAAATATTAAAATGTAGGCAAAGCAAGKAATGAAACAGGAGCTGGTCTCATTTGCATTTGCACAAGTCATGTGAACCATGCTTTTAGAGAGGAGAATGAAAATGAAGATAAAGTTTATTTTATTTATTTACTTTCACAAAACCCTGCCTTCATTCTTCATTATCCCCCTACAAACAAAATGAGTACTCTTAATGACTTTTCAGCCATTTTGTCATGATTATATAACAGAAATAACAGTTTAAAATAAGCTAAGTTATGAGTTCTATAACAGACCTTTAGAAACTTTACACAGCTGATCAATGAACAACAGTTTAATTCAAGGCTTGGATCAGACAGACCAAGCAATGATTTCAGACTTCGTTTTCTAGTCATATAAACTTTAAAAAGGTCTATTACAGCTAAATTAGGTRTATTATTAGGTATACGAAAAGAGAAAAAGCCCAAAACTATACTAAAATAAACTTAATTTTACATTCTGACTATAAAAATAATTTCAATTCTGATTAACCTTGCAGCATGTGATTATACATTTTTGAATGTCACATTCTTTATGGTAAGTAGCACACATAGCAATCCCCAAGACTTTCAAAGTTCTATTTCACTCTATTTGTGSCCTCAGCTAACTTCGCATGCATGATTGCTAGCTGCATTTTGATACATGATTTCCAATATGCAAAGATGCTTTCAAAAAAATTGCAGGTGCGAAGGAAAAAAAGATATTTTGGGTAAAATTGTGCTTTGGAACAACGACTGAAAAAAGCTCTCATGCAAGCCAGCAATAATTTTGAAAGCAACTACACATATTGTCTCATTACCCACATGAATGCCATCTTGTTTTTAGCAAAAATGATGCTATCACAGCTGTGATGGGAATACATTTTTAGAAAGCATTCAGAAGGCAAACACTTTCACAAACAATAGAATGAGATTTGCAAATAGCTTCTATACATCATGACCCAAGTCCCTTGGCAGAGATAAATGGAAAATTATTAATAATTAAGACCACTTTTTTCACAAGTTTTGCATAGAAACAATGGTCAGATCAACCCTGGTTGTACMAACCAGTTTTCCAAAATCTAGTCATCAAACTGGCAGCAATAATCTAACCTAGACAGGTTCTATATTAATGTGATGGTATGATATTCTTGCTTGATTTATGATATGAAATGGCTAATATCTTAAATAATACAAACTTGTAAGAGCTTCTGAAGTTTGCAAAAGTGTAGAAAAATTGACTGGTTCTTGCAAGAACAATAAGAGGGTTCCATAGCAACACACACCACACTCAATGTACATGTACATAGTCTTATTATGGGTTCCCTGTGCCATCTTGAAAGGCACAAGGAACCATGTAGGAGACTAATGAGAAATGATCATGGCTATTTTACAGCACTGTCATGGCAATGTCAGGAATTTGTCATGACATAAATATACTGCGCAGTAGTTTCCACCCTCGTGTTCTATTGATGATTTGCTACTGGGTTTTTTTTTTCAAACAATATTCTTGTTTTGAAACCATTATTATGACTAATATTAACAGTCATTGTAAGAACCCTGTAATCATAAAAAAGTCTTCAGAAAATCTTACAAGTGAAGCTATATTTCAATGTACCTTATACAAAAAATATATAATTAGTTCTGAGACACCATTTATCATTGTAACACAGAACTTCCTGTACTTGTTTGATTATGTAATTGTTTACTTTTACTGCTCTCTGTCTGCATTTGAGGCTGATGAAAACTCTGAGCATGAATGACGGATGATGGAACAGTAGATGTGTGGATGTTAGGAAGACTGGTCATGCCTGGAGCTTGTGTTTCACTCATACCAAAAATATTTGAAGCGACAGACATTGGAGCTGTGCCCATGACTGGAAAMGCTGATGGAAATAGTTGTTCAGGTGTTGGCGAGATGATAGGTGCTTCGGGTGATGACGAACTGTCCGGTGAAGGAACTATCGACATTGCTGCTGGATCAAAATGTTCATTTAAGTTGGTTCCTGAAAACAGGACATGAGCACAATGAATTGACTTTCACCAACTCAATTGTCATTTTCCTTCAAAAGTTATGCATGATCATCRTCATTTGCAGTGCACTTTGGTGATTATGCTGAAACACCTATAGAAAAGATAGCAAATGGTACCTTCAAAACACCAACATGTGTCTCAGAGTATCCACTAAATTTTGCCTGTCACAAAAGCCTTGAATTCGTTTAACATATAGCAAAACGTTTTGATCTCAAATGTTGAAAATCTTGCTGCCTCTGAAATAATTTCAGAAAGACAATTTGCCACCTCTTATACATRTAGTAACTACAAAAACATGGTTGTACATGTATTATGTCTATTAACACTGTACCATTGAAACAAGGGGCACATTAGGGACTTATTTCTATTTACTTTTTTACTTACAATACTCCAATCATATGGTGTGATACTTAAGATATAACATACGAATAACTCTCRTTCACACGTACCTCCAAGTAACATTTCTTGTAATAAGCTATCGACTTTAGCCACGCCAAATAATTTCAAGATTTGAAGTTGTTCTGTTAATTGTACAGCAATGTTCTGAAGTGTCGGTAATAATAGTAACATTTCACCAAACTTTCCCCGACTGGCATACTGATGATCACTAATATAATCTTCTAATGTCGTCTGAATCTCAAATCGCAGGGCTTTTATTTTTTGAGGTTCCCCAAGGCCTTTGGCATCTGATAACAAGAAAATAGGTTAAATCTATTAAGTTTATTACTTTGCAGCTATTGTAAAGCTCAACTGACAATAATGATGTAGTGCAATTAATAACAACATGGTCTGTTGTAATTCATCATGGAAAAAAATTAGTGTTTTTTTTTCAAACATTCATGTGGCAATGGGTGCATTCTACAGGACTGCATGATACAAAAGTTGGCATATACACTATCCTAAATAATAAACATCTTGAGTAGTGTGGGAACAACCATATTGACTACAACTAATTATCAACCACATATTGATTGGTTTATTAAGCCAAGCTTCTTCCACATTGTTAATAGTATTACTGCCAGAAACCAAAAGCAAAGCAAAATCATACCTGGATTGAAAAATACAATTGCTTTTAGACAGGCAAATTCTGTATCATCAATATTCAACTGTCGCATTGGTTGAGCAATTTCATCAAGAACTCTTGAAGCTAAACGTCTAACATCAGGATCTCCAGCTGTTCTCGGAATAACAAGATCATTTCCTAACAATAACACATCTTTAAGTCCAAGAGATCGTCGTGATACTCCAAGCAGTAAATGTTCCATTGCATGCGCTCGTAATAACGCAACTTGGTCATCAAGTTGTAAATCAGGAAAACAAGGAAGGTGCTTAGCCCAGTCCACTAAGATGAGAAGCTGTTGCCGCATTGATTCACAAATGTCATTATAGTCAGCTTCTTTCTCTAAGCTTACAGATTCTACAATTAAAAAGACAAGTCTAGTTATTGTTAAAGAAATGAGAAGAAACAAAGAACATACAACAGCAAAACAAGGTGGACTTTATTGTGATCAAGGTGAGCTTCATTTCATGGAGAAAAAGATGCAAAAAGTTTTCAAGGATTCCATAAAATGGTMATGCTTTTGCAGGGTTTGTACATATTTTTATCATACAAAATTCAAGGACTTTTAAGGATGAATTTTCAATTTTCAAGGACACCAATTACAAAGAGAAAGATACAGTTAGTAAACTTATTAAATGTGTGTCTTACCAAACACAACAATAAGAACATTGCAATTAAGAACTTCTCTTTTGGAGAAGATTTTCCTCAAACTGTATTAGTTTCTTGGACACCAAATTGGACAATATTACAACAGGTATCACAAAAAGGATTGAATTCTTGTCATTTTACTTCAAAACTTCAAAGCCTAAAACATTACCTAACAACAACCAAGACTGATTCAAGGACTAAACTATCATTATTAAGAACCTTTTCTCCAAATTCAAGGACTTTTCAAGGAAAATTTGCAACCAAAGACTTTTCAAGGACAGCTAAAAAATCAAGGACTTTTCAATTCTTTATGAACCCTGTCTTGTTCAATTACCTGGAGGTGAGGAAGCAGGTCTTGAAAGGATGTCAGCTGACAATAAACTTTGAGTAGTTAAGCCATACTTTTTGTCTTCTTCCTTCGGTTTCTTTGATATTGAATCTCTTTCATTTTGGACAGCTAACAAGTATTTAATCAGAAGATCAATCAAAGATGATGTAAAACAAATGTATGAGGATTTATCCAGATWTGAAAGCCTTCAGCAAATGACTCTGAGGTCAATAACAGTTCAAAGAAATTCCTTTGCTTTTTGTACAGGATATCTCGTGACCCAAAATATTTATGTTACATTTGAGCTGACTGTGGTTATTATGTTGATAGACTGTACTCAGCTCAAATAGATTTGCATGACTGAGCAGCATCTCACAGACAAATAATATCTTATATTCTATTATGTTGTAATGTTCACAATGGGTCTAAACACTATGGCCTGTTTTATCCCTCCCTACCCCTACCTCCTTCATGTTTACTCGGCAGTCCTATAGTGTACTGCCTAAGGGCGCAAAGTGATTGACATGTCTAGGAATTGAGCCCAATCAACCTTCCTGGGCAGGTTCTTAGATTTGATCATGTTATGTGCCATATTCACACTTATCTTAAATTGACTATTATCTTTGAAGATATAAAAAGCTTAACATATAATCAGAATAAACATTGCCAGATATCCTAGTCTACAGTGTGTAACAAACTAACAGTTTGAACACGACATGGCATGCTACACTAACCAGCTCTTAATGTTTCTTGCCAAGCTTTTAGAGTAATCTAAATGGGTTAGGAAAAGMTTTGTATCGCGTGGTCACAGGTGTAAATTCCGTGCACAATTTTAAATATTAGCATACTAAATATCACTTTGTTAACGAGTTTTTAACTGGCGTGGAAAAGACAAGCTATTGCGTAATCTAATTATCGTAAAAAAACGTGAGTGATTCTTTGATGCATTTGAACGTTACTTTGGCTAGGATTGCGTTATGCTAATCCCTAGACTTCTCGTGCTATGTGCAACATTTAGCTGCTTCTTAAAACAACATTACACAATATACAACAAAAATAATTGCTATAAGATATAACATTAAGATGTATTTTATGCAATCACGTCGTTCGCGTCACATAAGCATCAATTTCATWTAAAGTAATGTTATGTAAGTTTCATAAATAAACGTGGCGGGTTTGCTAACAACAACAACATAGAAAACATCACGATTCGTATAATAAACGATCTGTGATACCTTRGAAAGCAAAAAATTTATCGAAGATTGCAGGGATTTAATAAATAAACATTTCCAGCATGTTTCGTAAAGAAAACCGTTTGTAAACGCTTTGTAGAAATTCAATTTCGGGTCGGACAAAAAGAATCTTCATTTGTTTTGTAAGCTTACCTTCTTTCTTCATGCCCGCTCGAAAGCATTTCTTCAGACGACAAAATCGGCATTGATTCCTCTTGTCTTTGTCTATAACACAGCTTCTCTGGAATCGGCATGAGTAGAGGTGATTTTTCCGTACACTACGACGAAAAAAACCTTTGCATCCATCGCAACTAGAGGCACCGTAGTGCTTACCAGTTGCCTTGTCTCCACATATCAAGCACAATCCATTGCCTTCCCCATCGTCTACCGACACGAAATACAGTCAAAATAGTTAGTTTAAGGACTGAGGCCAATACAAATACCAATATTTTGAGTTTACATGGTAAAAATTTGTTAAAAATGAAGGTTTATTGACGAACCTGCATTGCTACTTCCACTCTCCTGCTTGATCCCATTCTCAAGAGTAACACTCATTTGACGCCGTTTCTACGCAAGATTTTGGACTTTAAACTCAAACAGAAGCCACGAATCTGTAGCACAGGCCTTCTGCAAAGTATATAAAGACCCAAATATGTACTTTGGACCCAACGGGCCAAAATATCCCCGATACTAAATGTGGTGTACTACGGCTAGCCGTCCCTCCATGCCGYGATAACTGTGCGATAGTCATGTGACTCGAGGGAGCCACGAGCGCTATACGACAACACGTCATCGTCTTGTAAACAAAGCCTCGCCAAAAATAACCAATTTTGTCAACTTTATAATTGATTTAATAAACATTTTTAAAGATTCTCAAGATGAAAGATAATCAATAATCACGATATCCTAACTAATTTTGAAGAATCAGTGCAGTTTTTAGATATAAAACGAAGAAAACATAACTATAGCCTTTTCGAAAATGTTCGCACACGTGACATTTCGGGGTTTTTTGAGTTTTGAGGTGATGAAAACTTAATTTTTATTTTTAAATGCGTACTTTTGTTATTTTCATTCAAAACCATTTTACAGGCACTTCATATTAATAACAAATCAATGAAAAGTATATAAATATTCCAATAAAATGACAAATTGTACAAATAAAGAACGAGGAATGCCATCCAAGGTTGATCTGGGAGTTGGCACGGCCTATGGAATATTTGTACTTTATTCCCGTTAGGTTTTTCTCGTGATCATTGTTGCCTCGGCATATAATTTTGAACAAGTGTATAGTATTTCTATTAAAATAGCATTTTATTATGTATGCAATTTTGCTTGCATCACTTTCCATCGTTCAATCTATTCCGTCGCAATGCGGCTCCTAAAAGACACTTTTAGATTATTTTCGAAAAGGCAAAGCCATTATATAAATATATAAACAAAGTAAAAAAACAAAAAGAAAGAAAAGATTGCATAAGTGCTTATTTACTTTAAAGACCAAAGGACGTGAGCAAATGGTGAATAGCGAGAAATTTAGCTAATAAAAAAGTCACTTAGTGCATTAGCATCAAAAACAACTCTTGTTGCGCGCAGAGCGCTTGCTGACCGTTTTTATAAAGCCGACAAGACAAACAGGATCTTACTACCTAACAAGAATTCACTAGACTTTTCTTCATTTGCACTGCACACTTGAATCAATCTTATATGTTTTTTTTCTTATTTGGTTAATTCTGTTTGAGACGAAGGTGTTCTGTCTTACAGCTCCAAACCCCATGCCTCGCGACCTCCATGTTTTGAAGTTCGTTAGGATTTTGGTTTATTCTGCGATTTTTCAACGTTTCAATCAATCATCTTAATTTGCGCCATAAGAATGCAAAATACTATCAATTCAAGAGCACGTGTCTGTATGTAGGTATGGCTGAATTAAATTGTGCTTTGAAAAATATTTTCTAAAGTTTACCTTAGACTTAATTAATATTGACAAATGAACTTCAAAACTACACGTGGTTTATCAAATTTATAACCGATTTGATATGCCCTGATCTTCGATATTTATCAGGCAAAGATATATGCAAGGAGATCGATAAGCAAACCGTGATCAGTGAGGCCCTTGAACCCGAAAACTCTTGCAATGGAAAGCCGAAACTGAGGGAGAAAGGAGGTTCGTGGATACAGAGGAAATGGTACTGATGTGCCTTTCAGTACCACTTCCGAGTCCGTCAATCACCTCTACAGGATTCACGATAAACAATTATTATGTAATATATAAGATATGAGCGGGAGACCTTTATGGGTCACTGKAAAAAATCGCGCGTTTTAAAGGTTGTAAATTTGATGTAAATATGTTGTAAGTGTCCAAAATTCTGTAAATTTGTTGTAAATCATCTATATCAAATTTACAGACTTTTGGACACTTACATCATATTTACATCAAATTTACAATCTTTCAAGAGCGCGATTTTTCCCCAGTGGGCATTTATATAAAACCCAAGTCGAACGCGAATATTTTATATTGCATAATCAAATTCCAACATAAGCTAAAGCATATTTTGCTAAAAAATCGAAATGAAGTATGATTTTTATGAGAAARTCGAAGTTAGAGTGGTATGCAAATCAGGACAAATCCGCAATGATTTTTTCATTGTTTTACCTTATGAATTATTAATGAATTTGATAAATTACGTTAAAATGATCCTAGTATTTGATGAGTAAGCTAAACTGTCGGTAATGAGTAACACAAGGGGAAATTGACTGAAAAAACGTTTGTTTTTCCTTTTCAAGGAGCTCCAGCCTTTGCAAAGACACCTCACTGACCTCATCCAGGACTGCAATGATTGCTCGCTTGCGCATAGACGAATTACAACCGATTAGTTTAATTGTAATCATTGCATGCATTGCTTATAAACGCTATAACTCTTTTCTACAAAATATGATTTCAAACRGCTGCTATTGTTATGCAAAACTCACATGACACAGCTAGTGTTCAACTTCAATGACCTTGTAGTGTGAAAACTGGATGGGACTTTCCCTATTACATTATAACACGTGCAATATCTACGTGCTCCTACGGTAAAAATTTGATTATCAGGGCATTTGGGTACTATATAGCGTGTATGGTCTCGTGTTCGCAGGTGCATTGGGATGCATGGGGGAGCCACGTGGGCAAACATCAGGGGGGGGGGGGTAGAGGATGACGTTATCTGGCCGAGCATGATCAGCCAGTTTAAAATTGAACATATTGTACAAATACGCTCTCGTTTGAAATGGATGGAAGTGAACTATGGTTAGGCCAATATAGTACGTGGTTTGTTACTGTCATCGACCGAAGAGTGAGATCTCGAGACAATTGCATATTGAATAAAATGCATGAATTTGCCATCCATCCTCAAGCATTGCAATTTTGCATCTGGGCTCACTGTGTTGTGATCGCACGATCGACCACACCTCTCAAGCAATTCTTCAAATGTTGAACAAGGTCCACTAAACCGATTAACCGCAAGAGATAACGAATTTGAAGGCTTCAAAATGTAATACCCAGAAGAATTTCGATGCAAAGACGATAAGGGACTATATAGACATTGATGGTTGTAATTGTCACACTGCACATAATTCAATAAATCTCATTTTTGCAAACATGCATCCAATTCGTCATGAATTCTGAATTCACGATTCCAAGCTCCTGGATTACGCGGACGGAGTCTATGAAATATTTTTCAAAGTATTCTGGATTCCATCATTTCATTAGATACCGAATGCAAAGAATACTTTTTTATTGTTCGTGACTATAAGTAGGAAGCTAATTTGGATTCCGGATTCCTGTTGTTTTATCGGATCCCGTTTTCCATTGCCACGGATTCCGGATTCCTAGCGTCTAGATTCCGTGCTCTCATAATTTCTAAACACGCAAAGTCTCCTAACATCGCCATTGAATGGAGGTACTGATATGCTTGTCAGGGCGGGAATGCAACACCAACTTCGCATAATTCACCGTTGGTTGTCCAGATAAAAATCTGTTTGGAGGCAACCGTACTCAAAATCAATGCATATATCATTGARCAACTTAGAAACAGAACCTGGGAGCTCTTGTAAAACTAGCTGGATGGAAGGTTATTCGACTCCTTCGCCTTCCTTATCGTTAGATTTATCTGGCTAAGGCTTCCTATGATTTTGGAGCAATTGACCTGTTACCAAGCAAACGACTGGCGACAACGATTTTTACAATCTATAGCATTAAAATKTACTGAGGAAGGGGATTTAAAAGCGAAATATAGGAACCTGGAACGTACTTTCTTTACAGCATTTTCAAGTATTTATTCCTTAAACAACAAACGAAAAAATGTTGGATGACCTAACACGCAATCCAAAATTGATAACCGATTCAACATTTTTGAATAATCAAACAAAGTTAAAACGCCTCCTTAGACCCTGTCGAACATTTTAAAAATATCTTCTAAGTTGATTTATTAGTTACCGAACTTTCGATCATGTTTGATGTTCGAGGGTCCACAATAGTTTTGCGGGATGCGGGATAAGCCGTTTTTTGATGGCGGGATTCGGGATCTGGACAAAATTTTTGACGGGATGCGGGAACTTAAAATGCAAGCGGGATCGGGATTTTGCGTTTTTTTCGCGACGGGATCGGGATAACTCTAATAATTTGCTGCAGGATACGTGATTTCTGCGTCCTAAGTTTACCTATTAATTATTAGACTGCCTGTGCATTTTATTACGAGATATAACCTCTCTGACCTTTCTGTCTTTACTGGACTATTACTGGACAAAAGCGGACACGTCACGCCAAGGTATCTACATGCATGTGTAATAGTAAGGTCATATCAGGTATCAAAGCAACTTTTAACTAGTTATAATCGATCATTATTATCAGTCTTTTTCAAGAACTTTCAACGACTCCTTGAGATCTCAATTCAGAACCTTATAGTTGTTTAGCCTTTATCAAGTAAAGCGACCAAAATGAACACCACAAACAACACGAAATGAAAGACTGTTTTGTTAAGTAATGCTGCAAAAATAAACACCACAAAGACGAAATGAAAAACTGTTTTATCATTTAAAGCGGACAAAATAAGTAGTTGCATAAAACATTTCGTACATGTACAGCCAAACAACGCAAGAGGACGGTTAGATGAAAAAGAAGAGGGAAAATAGAGTCAATAATATGGAAGGTATGCCATTGATGTTATATTAACTTAATTATTTATTATTAAGAGAAAATTGCGGGATCGGGATTGCGACCTTAAAACTGACGGGATTGCGGGATTGAAAAAAAAATTTGCGGGATTGCGGGATTGAAAACCCCCTATTGTGGACCCTCATGTTCATTCTCACAACCGGTGCACTTGAAAGCCGTCCAAAACTTTAGAACACCCACAATACCTTGCAGACCTTTTAGTCACGTACATTGACTATTATCACCTAAAATACGTACATTTACAAGAGTTGACAGTGCAGCTACAACTGTCGTAGCTAGAGATTCCAAATAATTGTTTAATACTTCAGTTGTAGCAATGTTGCAAGGATAACTTAGTCAATGTTGCATTGGATAGTTTTGCAGTCAACTTTAGATCGGTTCCGCGTACAASATTATCCAGATTGCTGCAGCTCTAGGTTTACAAGCACTTTATACGAAATAAACTCGAAAATTTACTAGAGATTTCACAGRACCATAACAGTAAAATTACGACAACATGTAAACAGATACCTATGCTGTCAATATTGCGGGGTGTGCGATATCGTACGATCAGATTGTACTTTATTCTCGTTAAGCCTTCCTCGTGATGATGTTGCCTTGGCATGTAATTGTGAACAATTAATTATAATTGTGTAACAAGTGTATATTATTTCTATTGAAATTCCGTTACTTTTTTGATGTCATTTATGCTTGCTAGTGTTTCTTCGTTCTCTTGTTTTTGGATACATTCCGCAGATGAATCCACAGTGCACTTCAAATATATACTTTCTAAAAAATATACACAAAAAAAATAAAGAAAAGGGTCACTTTTAGTTATAGACAAAAGCGAACTCGACTAAATGCAGCAATAGCCATAGAAATTWAGCTAATAAAAGTCGCCACATCACGTTAATGAGCATCGAGGAAGATCGAGGAAATCTTTGAAGTGCGTGTGCGATGCACTTTACCGTCCAAAAATTTACAACGATAAAACGCAACAAGAAACCACAGGGTTTTGCAGCTTGAATCTGGCTTTAAGCTGTTTAATCAGTTGCACTTTTCTGAATTTGTTTCTGAATCAGATCAATTTTTCTTATTTGGCGGAATGTGATGGAAGGTTTTCTGTACTTTCTGATTTGTGCTGAGATCMGTCTTGCTCATTGTTCTACTCATCAGTCATAAACTACACTCGGTGCACAAACACGATTTAAAACAGATTTGATATRCCCTGGTCCATATTTTCTCGTGTACCGTTGTATACAAACAATACGAGGAGGAATACTAGGACCATTGAACCAAGTTATAAGTAATGGAAGAGTGAAGAGAAAATGTAAATGGTGCGTACAGCCGGGTTATGCGACGAGGAAGCTAATTTTTCATAAACTATACCGACTTCGAAGCTTCGTTTTTCTTTTACTTTTAATGTGCTATCGTTAATTTGTGATTCAAATTTAAAACATCAAAATTGATACCAAGAAAAAAATACTAAAGTGATGTTTGTTTTGCTTTTCCAAGGAGCTCCTTATCGATAGACACCTCAATGACCCTCTGCTGCAAAAAAGGCTCCTCGCCTGCTAAGCCCAAGTTCTTCCTTAATCATTTGAGCAGCTCTTAATTGCAATCGCTGCAATCACGTGCATTGCTCGTTAGCGATGTAAATAATTTTTAAAACTATCTAGAATCRCTGTTATTGTTATGCGAAACTTATCATTGCAAATTCACATGACTCGGTCTGTTCACCTTGAAATGGTGCCTGTTGGATGACCTTGCAGAAAATGCGGGACTTTCCCGTTAGTTACCTAACCACATACGATATCTACAATACTGAGAGTCATGTGTGAAATCTGACTTAGCGTATTTTCGATGATACATTTAATGATTATTGATCTGCTACATTTATTTTACAAGCAGTTTTTATTTAAGGTCTTCCTCAAGTTATAGTAGCCCGCCGAGGTAGGAGGACATGGTGTTCCTCCGTTTTTCGACTCCTTCGTCTGAATTGAGTGCATACTCGGCGCGCTGAAGACCGTGAAAAAACAACAACGGTAATTTAACATTATATAGGCATTTTTATTAGGAATTAGTATTGCTTATCGTACTGATGTGATCAAAGACTTTATTCTGGATTTTGCAAACTCATATATCTAGTTCTTGCTGATTATATTGAGGTACTATTGACTGTAGATTGTTCTCTAAGTTTTCAAAACTATCAAAACCAGCAGCTTTTTGATTACTCCTTTAGTAGTGAACTTCTACGTTTGTTTTCTCAATCAATCTTGAAAATCGTTTCAATTTTTATCGGTTTCTGATGGCGGCCAATAATGATTATAGAAATACAGATGGACTTCAAAAGACACTCTCCRATATTCCTATTATCACGTCTTGATATATATTCATTTTTTGCACGTAGGACATTCCATGATGTCCATATTAATTATATACAGCTATTTCAAAAAACGTTGTCGGGGAGAACGGTGAACGGCAATTGTCGAAGGGAAATGCACGACCGAAAGGAACTATGGTTAGTACATAACCAGATGGTTATGTACTTCTGATGGTTGCACTGTTTTGCTAAACAAAATTTCACTATTGGATTCACCTTACATAGAAATGGAGACTAAATGGAGCCAATGTTTACCACAGACCATCTTACAGTATAAAACAGTTGTTAATACCCCTCAACAAGCAAAACCCATGGCTACTTTCGGTCGTGCAATCGACGTTCGGACCATTGATATTCGCCATTTTATCCGACAACCTTTTTTGAAACAGMTTTATGTTGACATGTTATCATTTTCCACTAAAACAAATCTGTCCGGCAATAAATTGGAACATTGGAAATATCTTACGAGGTGGATAACTTTTTCAAGATTTGCTCTATAGCTGACGTACATTGATCATTATCGATTACACCAAAAGCCCGTCTTTAAGAATTCCGACTGAAATGGAAATTACCATTTAATAGCCACTTTTGTAGTTCAATTYCCAAAGCATTTACACTGAACTCGATGAGATTCAATGCTTGATCGACTTTCTCTGCTTTCAGATCAGTTCTTAAAGGTCCAGTTTATTGCCCATGATCTATGAAATCTGCATTGAAGCTTATGTAACAATCAACAATTCACAAAATAAATACAATAAACAAATCAACTTGTACTTTTATCTACACTTAATATTTGAAATACACAGGAGATATATGTATACAGATAATAGATAATGTACGTATGTTTAAACCTATTTTTTAACCTATTTTAATTAAGCTAAAAGAACTCAGCAAGCTTTTATCAACTGAACAAATGTAAAATATTGGATGACTAATAACACAATCCAACATTGCTAGGTGATCCATCATTTTYGAATCTTTGAACAATGCCTTAAAACTCTACCCAACATGCATTTGGTGCTCAACTACATACAACTGCATACAACTATTTGCAATAATTCTGACCCACCTACACTAATATTTATACATATCAAACTGACCTTTAACATTATGGAATATCATGAATGATATATTTTTGGAGTTGTCCAGAATGAGTAGTGCTTTCTAAAAAATATCCCACAATATTAAGGGTCAGTTTTATATATAGAGGATATTACATTGGCATGCGGAGATATGGATTTTATCTTTGAGTCTTGAATGAGTGAGAGATTTTCAACATGAGATGACAAAATTAATTGAAATTAGTGGTCTCCAAGCGACCATGTAATATTCTGTTTATCATATAATTATATGATAAATATGAATTAATATTAGTGTAAGTGGGTCAGAATTATTGCAAATAGATGTAGATTCACTGCGCTACGGCTTGTTTGACTAAACTTAGTACTAAAAGTTATGAAGATAAACTACCCAATCTTTGAACTAAAAAAAACTACTTAAAAAAATGTACACCATTTCGTTCTTCAGTAGTACAAATCAGACAATCATTCAGTGCWGCTACRAAGCAAGGTTTGAAGTCTAGTTTAACTGTCTTTCCTACAWAACGACCATCCAATGTAAACTTGTAGAYTWYCTTTGATTKATGATCACAAACCATAAGATTRTTKKCAWTGTCAATAGCCAGACCCAAAGGTTTTTGTARCCGACCATCTGTGTAGTCCTCCCCACCAATAGTGTTTACAATAGTTGGTGACTGGTTGTCTTTCACCTCAATCACGTGTACYACTGATCCCGTACTGATGTACAACAGTCCATTGTGTGTAACTACATCAAATGGTCTTCCTTGTCTACCAGGTATTGCAATCTGATAGAGATGGTCACCGGTCTTTGTAAACACTTGAACACGGTTCTTAGCACATACAATAATGCTAGAATCACTACCAATGTGTAGTCCCATGGGTTTATCAAGATGTCCGTTCWTATCTCCATAGCAACCAAAGGTACCAACAAGCTTACYGGAGGTTGTGYCCACTATGCATATTCTATGATTATRGCAATCAGCTATGACCAGATCTGTTTCATTTAGAAAKGCTAAACCAGCTGGATTCTGTAACTGTTCTYGTCCACTGCCTYTACTACCATATGACAGTAACAAATCCCCATCCATGTTGAAAACTCTGATACAACTTGCTCCCCAGTCTGCAAATGCAATCTTGGTGTTTGATGTATTGACAGCAACAAATGCAAACCTCCTTGATATTGTATTCAAGAAAACTGAAATTTCTGTATTTACTTCTTTTAAGTTTTGTGGATTGACATCCATCACTAGTGGACTGTTGGATACAGGATTTCCATGYACTTGAACCTCAGCTGTCAACTGACCAGGAACACGTGGAGTAAAGGTTACTTTGATCTGACCATCAGGCATCACTCGTTTCTCTCCTACATTGACGTCATCTACAGGGATGAAGTCTATTGTCACTTTATCCAATGAGGGGTAAAATAGTTCACCTTTATATGTTCTAAGCGTCACTGTCAAAGATGCTTCCTCCATTGCCTCAAATGTTTTTGGCTCAASTGCTAATGAACTATTGTTTGGGTCAGCTCTTTTGAATGATTGCACAAGTCCTACACCAGTATCCACTTGCCCACAAAGTTCTTCATTGGGTTGAAATTTMATCCCGCCAAAGTCTTTTTCAAATGCGTCGTAGGTGAACGTTTTCGAGCATTCTGCGTCTGATCGGAGGTCAATGATTTCACTTGCTGTTCCATTTTGTATGAAGTATTTGACGTACTCT